GCACCTCCGGGAGCTGTGGTTGGGTATATTTAGGCATCGGTCTCCTTTGCCATCCAATGAACATCAGGGGGGTTGTGGGGAGGTGGTTCCCACTGGAGAACATATCTAGGGTGGCTTTGCAAAGCCCATGGCCTCAGGACGTGGAGGAGGGACAGGGTGAGCCAGCAGGGAATAGGGTTGATATCGTATGTGTGACAATGCAGCTCATGGTGGGACAGCTGGAACAGGGCTTCCTGAACCTCAGCCACACGTGGCTTCCTTCTGAAAGGGTCATAGGATCATGGAATCCCAGACTGGTTTGAGTTGAAAGGGACCTTAAAGCTCACCCAGTCCCAACCCCCTGCCATGGGCAGGGACACCTCCCACCAGACCAGGTTGCTCCAAGCCCCATCCAACCTGCCCTTCAACACTGCCAGGGATGGGGCAGCCACAGCTGCTCTGGGCCACCTGGGCCAGGGTCTCACCACCCTCACAGCAAAGAATTTTTTCCTAGGATCTGTTCTCTATCTCCCCTCTTGCAGCTTGAAACCATTCCCCTTTGTCCCATCACTCCATGTCCTTGTCAAAAGTCCCTCCCCAGCTTTCCTGGAGCCCCTTCAGGTCCTGGAAGGTGCTCTAAGGTCTCCCTGGAGCCTTCTCTTCTCCAGGCTGAACAACCCCAGCTCTCCTGTCTCCAGAGCCTTTCTCCAGAGCAGAGGTGCTCCAGCCCTTGGATAATCTCCATGGCTTCCCCTGGACTCACTCCAAGAGCTGATGAGTGAGCTCTATGCTGGACCCCCCTCCTGGCTCAGCAGAGATTGTGTGCCCACCCAGGTGTGGGTTCCATGGGTAGGGTGTCCTGTGGGACGTGCGAGGAGGTGCAGAGGGAATGGAGGAGCCCGGGCAGGGATGGGTCAAGACACAGCAGCCAGCTAGGAAACAAAGAGCCATTGTGGGGACCCACGTGGCTGCAGGACGGTCCCTGCTGGTGGCTGGCACCGGGAGGTGTGGCAACCCACGAGGGAGGTGCAAGGGGTTCTGCTCAAATGCTCCTTTGAGCTCCCATGGGTCTAGGCTTGGGGCACACCTCCCTCCCCATCACCCTGCCTCAATGGCCACAGTTCAGCTGCACGGTTGACTGCAGTTGCTGTAGCTGGGGGAGATGTTGGGAGCCTGGGGTGAGAGGAGGGGGAGATCACATCCAGTGGTTTCTCCCGGTCCCCCAGCTCCACAAGACCAAAATCTGGGGGTACAGAGCTTGGTTTCAACTCCTGGAGCCCCCGCTGAAAGCTGTGGCTCTGGGGACACTTGGCAGCCACCATCCCTGAGGGTTGTCACTCTCCACCCCACAAAGCCTGCAACACCAGCAGGTTTTTCTCCAGCAACGAGTGCTGATCTAAATGAAATGAGGTGCAGAGCAAAGCAGACTTATGTCTATCCAGGGACTGTGGGTTGCCATGGGTTAGTCCTTTCCCACCCACATCATCCCTGAGGTGTCACCTGGCATGGAACCATCTCCAGCATGGCTGAAGGAAGAGTTGACCATAGAGCCAAACCAATGTGGAGCAGAGCCCCAGCAGCCAGAGAAGGCTGTGGAAAGTGAATGGCTTCCCTCTTCCCACATCTGCAGCCTACTGGCTTAGGGAAATGTGCTTGGCATCCCAGTGCTGGCATCCAAACCCTTCCCGGGAAAGGGTGGGAGACACGGGATAAAACCTTTGGTTATGGGCATGCAGCACACAGGACCCATCTTGCAGCCTGTGGTCCACCGGCTGGAGAATGAGGATAGTCCCAGGGGAAGGTCCGGGTGTCCCGGGATGCTCCTCTGCCTGGGGGAGATCCTAAGGATGAGGTGAGCAGATCCAGTGTCTCCCCCAAGCCCTTTCCCACCCTCCAGCCAGAGCTTTTGCAAGGCTGGGGGTGGGCTCTGCATCCCCCTCCCTCCGTTCCTTTCCCAGGACATCTCCAACTCCCCCCGCACGAGGGTTTGGCATCCTAGGATTCCTGGCCTTGGGAAGAGCTAGCAGATCCCGGCCATCACTGTCAGGATACAAGCTTAGCCCAAATCCACCAGCCTCAGCGCTGGGGACCCAGGTACAAGATCTGTTCCCAGGCCCCTGCATCCTACGGACTTCCCAAGAATTTGGGCATATCCCGGGAAACCTCCTGTGGGGCGTCCCCATCCCTCCGGAATACACCGTGCCCGGCGCCGGCGGGTACCCGGGGTGCGGGAAAGCTGGGGGGGGGTTGGGAAGGGGATGG